TCCAGTGCTCGTCCTCCGCCACACACCGTTTCTTTCCTTGCTCACGCCACTATACGCGTCATTGGCGGTCGGGTTAATACATTCGTCGATCCGCGATAGAGTCAATGACATAACCGCCCGTCGGTTCTCCTTTCAGCAGCCTCGACATGTTTCACCGGCCTTCTTTTCGTCCTCGATTGGAAGCACACCGATCTCTGTTCCTCGTGTACTACGATCCACACGCCTCTCCTACTACCAACACACTACCGACGCTCACTTTCGCCGTTGGAATCGCGCTCGTTACGACGCGAATTCTTTTACACTCGAATTACCGATCGGACGCGCGCGCGCGTCACCATCGCAATGCACCGCGTCAACTTCAAGTCGGTCGAACGGTTCTCTCGAAGCCTTCGAAAAAAAAGCAACGCCTTCTGTCGTTCGGAACGTGTTCGGGACGAATGTCAACCGGAGGACGAGTAGGGATCGTGGAAATTAATCACGCGATTAATTAGCCGACCACACGACGCGTCATTAACACCGACTAGAAGCACGAACAATCGAGGCGACCGAACGTGTTCGAGTGCCGCTTCACAGTACCGTTCCCGCACTCCGAACGCGGAAGCGAAGATCGACGAGCGTGGTAGCAAAGACGTTTTAACGACATCGACGAATATATTCGTGCCCCTTATTTCACGCTACGAACACACGACCACGACGTACTGTGAACGGATCCTTTTCATATACATATACAGAAAGTTACGTACAAGGTCGTCGATGTATACGATAGAATCGCCGCCGAAGGGGAACGTGACGGACACGACGCACTCCGAGATCCAACGATTCCCCGCGTTTACATTTGATAGCCGGCGTGAACCGGCGTGCTGGTAATCCGTTTAAATACGCAACAATGTGTACGAAAAAACGCACGTCACTTTCAGAACCGGTCACATCGCCGATGAACGACGGGAGTCGTGCACGAACAACACCACGAAACGAGCAACCAACAACCGCGACGTCACGAGTCGTACTAACTTGACTAGCGGTCCGTCCAGCCCGGTGGACCTATGGGTAGCGGCGCAAGATGCAAGACGCAAGGGGGTGAGTACTCATGAGAGCTACACAGGCGCCACCGACGGTGAAACTCGGAAACGCCGGACGCTCGCGTTCACCTTTATCGACACACGCTTTTGCGTAATCTAATTAAACGTGAGTTTATATACACGTATGGACATTTCTAGAGTCCAACACGGATAATGTGAATAGACAGAATTCTTTTTACGACCAATTTACGCGCATACACGTTCGCTGATCGTATCAGATGAAATTCTTTCAAATAACTGTCTCAACTGTTACGATACATTCATGCAAATAAGGAAATATTGAAAACGTTAACCGAAGTAACCCTGTAAAATATATCGTTCACGTTATCCACATTGTTCGCGACTGTAGATAATTGCTGAAATAAGACCTGCGGTTGTTCATATCGCGAATATCGATTTGCATTTAAAGATCTCGAACAGAATAGCGCTCCTTCCCGCAAAGTAGCTACTGTATACCTATACGTACGTCACATCGAACGATATGTTAACATTGGTAAAAATGTATATACGAATATTTCTAGTATCCGCATCGATTATACCCGGTATTCCTTTTGTTCCCATTGATTTCGTCGAAGATAAATTAATATCACGCTAGAAAGAAAAGAAAGAAAAAAAAAAAAGCGGTAAAAGATGGAAGGGAGATGGAAAGCTGGGGATCGTGCGTTTTATTGCGCCGCGATATCCGGTTTCGCTTTGTGTCTAATGAAACGAACGGGCAAAGAGGAGCACAGACGCATCGTTAACAGTGTATCATTTATCCCTCTCCCCCCTTCACCCCCTGTTCTACCTTGTGCATTTTAATTCATAGAAAGTACGCCGTGGGCGGGAGGGGTAGGGGAGGTTTTTGTTCGCTCGTGATATTGCAGCGCAATCACATTATGCATCTCGTTTCATGAGGTGAACAGGGCGGAAAAGCGTAGATCGTGAAAAGGGGGAACTTATAAAGATACAAAACCGGATTACCTTATCAGTCTTATTCTCGGGAAATAATCAAGACGTCTCTACTCTTGAACTGGCCCGTTCTGCAAGAACAGCCTCGGTGTGAAAAATTCGATTTCTCTAGAAAACAAAGTGTCTCTAAGCATTGGTAGGTTTTTAAAAAAATGCTCGATATATCTTCTGCTTTCGTGATTTCATCGTTGCGATGGGAATTAATTCTCGTGCCCGTCTGGCGTGAAATAGAGAAATATAGAAGAACAACGTTCCTCATTAGCGGTGTGTTCTTATTTCCGTTTTGTTTTCTATGCATGCGACATTTCTCAGAAGCGTGGACAATGAAAAAGGTCCTTGTTTTTCTCGTTAACACGGGACTCCGGTTTGTGTTGTGCTTACGTCGAAATGTTGTTCCGTTGCACCGGCAATGTTAAAGATGCAACCGTGAAATTTGGCGTGTGTGAGATAAAGAACGAGGAATCTATCCGTGAAACGGTGCAATTTCTTCACTTTCCAGCGAACACCTACACACCTAGCCCGTAGTTCTTCGAACGTCTCCCCCGACATTATCGCCGGTAGAGTAACGCGAAAGTTAAGGCCTAGAAATGCATCATCCCCTATCTCGATTATGGTATTGCTGTCCTTGGAACGGCGGCGTGGAGGGGTGTGTGTGTGTGTGTTGGATCTGTAAACGAAAGATATACGACAGCCTTGCTAGACAGCAGGGAAAAGTTTTATCTGCCGTTTCAGAAATATCAATAACCGATCCCTTCCTCCCCCGTACCTTCACCTCGTACACTTCCTATTCGAAACGTGGAAATATACGTACAGAGAGAAACCGTGTTCTCTCCCTCTCCCCTTCTGAATAACGTGGCCCAGGAAAACGTGCCCGAGTGTATCCCTTTCAAATCATAGGAAATGCGGCCGGTCTTGCGGAGACATTCAGAAAGTACCCTATTCCGAAAGATGGCACGTGTCGCGAGCGAGCGTGGATTTACTGTTTAAAATCCAATTCGATCGGTAGAGGTTGCCGGATGCATGTGAGGATTCTCCAGTCTCCTATCTACAAACACACACACACACCTGTGTTGCGATTAATCTAATTCGGCTGGAAGATAATCGTTATACGAGATAGTCGATTCGTCGTCGAGTGTACACCGCGTGACACTTGTCCAACTCGGAATATCCAGGTCGAGCGGTGTTAAATTATGAATCCGTGAATCGGAGCGCGAATATTCGAGCACCTCGATATAACAAACTTTTTTCCTCTCTGTCTCTCTCTCTCTCTCTCCTCTACTCTTCCTCTGTGTGTATCGAGTTATTGTCCTTGTTCTCGTGTTCCCTTAATACAGAGAGAGAGAGAGAGAGAGAGAGAGAAAGAGGTAGGAAGAATCGGTTCGAACCGATTCGTTAAGCGGTTCGTTGAAATGTTTGCAAACGCGTGGACCGTGGCAGTAGGAGAGGAGTAGAAGAGTGTAATTAGCAAGCACACGTACGTAGGTAACTCGATGTATGGTATATACATATACACCTGGTGTATTTGTCAAAGTTACGAGGTTACAAAAGAGGAGAGAAGAGGGTTCTACTACCCTTCGATTTACATCCGTGCTTCGTAATTACAATTCTCCCTACGTATGTACGGGAAGGGAAATCGTGCGGCAGTATTTTCAGGTTGGACGGATCGTCGAAAATAATCGATGATCGGAAATATTGGTAACGTGTTGGACAGTCTAGAAATATGATTCCGTTTCGTGTACAAGCGTACATATTAATTCCGGCGAATGTACGTCAGACAGTAATGTTGTCTCGATGCGCCGTTATTAAACAAGCTTTCAATCGAAATAAACGCGTAAACAGGTCTCCTCGCGTTTTATTCAATTCGTGGCAGTAACGTGATTCCATTTCATCCGGATGTAGTAGTTCTACTTATAAAACAGGCACACGAATGAATCATTTTGTTATAACAGGAAACGTTCTCTCTCGACTGGTGTTCCAAAGGCGAACAGATCGTCCGATCGAAAAATTCGTGAACGTTCGATCTACGTACAGGATCCACGAATTTTTTTCCCGCGGCGACGTCGCGTTGGTAATTTCATCGCGAGCCAGGGTAACACGAAAGAAGCAACTGCGGCGGAAA